TGCTTCAATTTTGAGTCAGTTAAAACATATTTATATTAAAATAAAGATATATCATTTATTTAAAATTTTTGTGTGAGTATCTACTATATAGTGGTATTGTTGTAATAACTGGGATACGATAGGAAACAAAAGGTCCTTGATCTCATGGAGTTAATATTCTAGTTTATTTGCAACTGGATCAGAATAAACATCCTTCTTACTCTGCTAAAGTGAAATTCACAGATAATCAACCTACACATAATTAAAAATTAACATAACATCCTTTTATTTAAAAGTGAAATAAAAAGAGAGTAATTTATAATAAAGCAATATTCATTTGAAAATGGAAATCAATACCTAAGCATGACTACACCTACAGATATGAAATAGGCAAGTACTTGCATCTACTTATAAAAGTAAATTTGAATGACAGAGAAGTAAAGACAATAGCCAATTTAATATTATCTTTTTTTTCTTTATATTTGACATTTTGAAAAAAGGACTAAATGAGTATATTGCATCAATATGTACCACACCTGTGACGAACCATTACAGATGCAGAATGTCACAGATATGCGTCTCAAACACCACAAACTGTGTTGTCATTATGGACATGATTTTCTGACATGACAAGCAAGGTTACCTAAACAAAGCAGAGCATGCTATTCATGGAAACTTCAGTGTGTGTTAAAACTGGCTGAAAATATTTGTATTTATGTAAAATAGAGTTAGGTGCTCAGCTCAGATAATTACAAACAGGTTTTTCACTGACCTCAATGGCCAGTGGGACATGGGAAAGTCATGCAGAACACGGGGCCAGTTGTTGGCTGTGCAGCCTGACTTAAGCATAATGGGATATCTAGCTCCTCTGGCTCCTGCCTATACATATCAGTAGTGGCCCTCCTACTTTTTTGAAAACCAGAAAACAACCCCACAAAGGCTCAAAATACTCTCAAACGGCAGATCCTCCTTTTTGATAACTAGAAGAAAGAAAGAAATAATTTAGAGACCGATAAGTGGTATGAAGGAAATAAAACAGTGCAAGAGTAGGGTGGCAACATTTGAACTAAGACCCCAATGGTGAGATGGAGACAGCCTTGTAAAGAAAGAGCTGGGGCAAGAACATTCCTGGCAGGGGAACAGTCCAAAGGCTGTGAGGTGGGGAAAAAGTTAGTATGTTTAGGGAACAGAAAGAAGAACATTGTGGCTGAAGCTAGGCCAGAAAGGGGGAAAGCACTGAATTTTTAGGGCACAGAGAAGGGGAGAAACTTCCTAATTATTATTATGTGATGTTGAAAGACTGATATCAGTAGTCCAACTTATGCTACATTTACAGACTGTCTTTGTGGTGCCTGATCATTTTGAAGCTGTGCCTTTCCAGTAAAAGGAATTATCTTGTCCATGGCTTATGATGGACTCTTGGGAAAATGCTCAGGAGGCACACATGATGTTTTGTATTAGATTCCAGTTCCACCACTGTGGCAGGTTCTGGATGGACAAGTCTCTAAAATTTCTTTTCTCTTTCTCTCTCATGCCCCATTGTTATTCCTTGCCAAGAACAAGCAGATCTCTTCCTTGGAATTCAGAGATCTCTCCTCACCCCACCCCCCAAAAGAAGTTTTGATAAGGATTCACTCATTGGAAGGGACATTATCTTTATTGCTTTTTCTGATCACAAAATACATATGTATCATCCCAGAAATTTTTTTTGGCTTTGTAAAATACATACCTAAACCACCAAATGGAGGAAAGGGGTTATGAAGATGGACTAAAGTGGGAATCTGAATATCTACTCAGTTCTTATGTCTTATCCTAAATACTCTCTGAGGTGATTGGATTTGAACTTTGAACTTCAGGCATAGGTATAGAATTGGTAATCATTAGTCCTTTTTTTTGTTTTTCATTTATCTTCAGATAGAGTGGGAGGGAAAAAGAGAGAGAGACATCAACGTGAGAGAGACACATCTACTGGTTGCCACCTGCATGACCCGCAACCCAGGTATGTACCCCTACCGGGAACCAAACCCCGGACTCGTTGGTCTGTGGGCCAATGAATGCTCTAACCTTTGAGCCAAACCATCTAGGGTGTCATTAGTCCTTTTGAAAAATTGAACATCAGACCAATTCCTAGGTGGGGAAAATCCTGAGCAGTAAAAAAATAACTCACAGCCCTCTGGCAAAGGACTTAAAAATTCAGTCTGATACAAAATATAGAAGCCCTGGCTGGTTTGTCTCAGCGGTTAGAGCGTTGGCCTTAGGTCCAGAGAGACCTGGGTTTGGTTCCAGAGAGACCTGGGTTCAGTTCCCGCCCGGGGCGTGTACCTGGTTGCAGTTTGTCCCTGGCCTTGGTTGGGTGGTGGCCACTCGATGTGTCCCTTTTGCATAGATATTTCTCTCTCTCCTTCCCACTCTATCTGAACAAAAACCAAAAGAATGTCCTCAGGTGAGGATATATCTATATATCTATATCTATATCTATATCTATATATCTATATCTATATCTATATCTATATCTATATCATCTATATCTATATATTAAATTTAAGGGAAAGCCTACTCTGCCAAAAGAACACACAGAAAAGCTGAATCGGGGCTCTTTGCCAGCTCTTTGTTGCTCTTACACGCTGTCGACACTCCTTGCGGCTAAGTGTTCTTATCTAGTTTTTAAATGTCCCTCCACTTGTAGACGCTGTCCGCTCGCTTCATTTCACTACCTTCTTCCAATCTTGGCAGCACCTCCAGGTTCTCGGCGCACTGGGAAGGGCGGACAGGGATTTGTCTATCCAGTCCCGCCGGTTTCGGTCACTGAGTTACAGACTTTCATCGACGTTTTTGCAGTGAAAGCTTGTGTATGCGGGGTGGACAGGCTGTGAAGCAGTCTGAGGGGGACTCCAGCCACCTTCGCCCCACGGCGTGGCGGGGACACCCCTGCACGGCCGGTTCACACCCGCCCGGGAATGTGCGCAAAGTGGGGCGAGGGTCGGTAGCCCAGCTGGTGCCGGTTGCAAGTTCCTCCTTAGCTCTGTCTGCAGCGGGACTCCCTGGAAACAGCGGCCCCGCCCCCACCCCGTGGGTCCCGGCGGCCCCGCCCAGCAGTTCCCGTCACGTGCCGCAGCGCCGCCCAATCAGCGCCCGCTGCACCGGGGCTCGCGATTCAAACTGCAGCTCCGAGTGTTCGTGGAGATAATAAGCCTGCCGTGGCCGCCGCCGCCGTTCGCGAACCATGGAGCACCGCATCGTGGGGCCCGGGCCGTACCGGGCTACCAAGCTGGTAAGTGGGCAGGAGGGGGCCTGGGCCATGCCTCCAGCCCCGCCGTTCCCCGGCTTCCCTCCGACTGGTCAGTCTTCGCCCCTCGAGGGCAGGCCGCCGGTTTGGAGCGGGACGTGTTTGGGCCAGGGCGGCCGTTCTCCGGACATTGCTGGAAGAAAGGATAGCGGGGCCTGGAGCCCAGGCTGTCGGGGTCGCAGCTTTGTTCCCGAGACCTTGGCGGTGTTCTTGGCAATCAATGCCACCTCCCAATTTGAAGAATGGGGAAGAGCAGGTGCCCCCCTCCCGGTCCCCAGCCTCTTTGTCCTGAGTTAATCCTAGGCCTGCGGCCCGGAGAGGAAACCTAGTTCATCTTGGGGCCACCCCCTCCTGCAGTCGGGCAGGGCGTGTCTCCGTCCTGTCACTTGTGGTGACACTTGAGGTTCGTTCTAACGGTGCCCAGAACCGACCGTCCTGACCACATTTCCGGTGCCTGGCGTTGCTGACTTTTTCATCACTGACCCAAAGGAGGGCTTGGCCTGGTTGATTGGTCCGAAGGAGCCTTGGCAGGCCCTGCCCTGATGGTTCAGGGTGCTGTCTTTTATCCTGGGAGAAGAGTTTTGGTATTTATGGTTCTAAGGAGTATTTACTTGATTTCTTTATGACCTGGAGGAAATAATTTTAGTGATTTCTGTTTCCAAGGATTACCGTAAAGGAATAAGGTGACAGTTTGGTATGTCCATGGCAGGTTTTTAGACAGCTTTCTACGAAAGAAAGCCTAATGGTAATTTGGGAGGAAGGGACTTATCTCCTTGGTCTGTCACTACTTCTGGTCACATCTTAACTTGGGAATTAGTCTCCTTGTTCTATGCACCCTAACGGATATTCAGGAAAAGATGGGAATTAAGTGCCAAACTCTCATTCAACTAGATTCGTTTATGTGGAAAAAATTAGGATTGTGGGACAATGGGGGATATAACTAGGGTTTCCTTTTCTTTCTAGAGCCAGTGTCAGATGACCAGTGGGGTGAAGCCATGGGGTGAAGCCAGAGCTAAGAAAGCCAGCTCCTAGGAGAAATTATGGTTGGGGCAGATGGTTGTTTAATTTTTCATTTGGCTCATAGACCACTTTGAGAATCTTATAATCTCCTCTTTATGGAATAGTGCACATGCCACATACTCATGAAATTATATGTGTGATTTCAGGGGACCTGTGAAATCTGTGTGTTTCATTTGGCTTAACCGTTACTTGCCCACGATTATGTGGGCCAGCAATCTGGGCTTGGTTGGCTTATGTCAGTGGTTCTTCTGTTGGGGCCACTCATATGCCTCGGTCATCTGATGACTTGACTAGGATAGGATGGTTTATGATGGCCCTTTGACTTAGTTCTGGCTGTTAGCTGGGCCAGCTATCTTCACATAAGCTATAGCAGTTCCAACATAACCAAAAGAAGGTTTCTGCTAATAACTTGTTTACCTCTCACTGGTCAGAGCAAGTCAAACAGCTAATTCCAGATTGTAGAAATTCAGCTCCACTTTCCTTTTTGTTAAATAAATTTTTTTTTCAATTACAGTTGACATTTAATATTTCAGGTGTAGAGCAGAGTGGTTAGACATTTATATAACTTATGAGGTGATTCCCCCCTCCCAAAAATCTAGTACCCACCTGACACCATACTAGTTATTACAGTATTATTGACTAGATTCCCTACTCACTTCCACTTCTTTATGGACAGGATTGTAGTCACATCACAAAGGTACCTGTGAAGAGGATGAGAGGAATGATTGCATTCATCTTTGCAAACAGTCTACTATAGACACCCAGAATGAGTCATTAAAAAAAAAAATCAACAAATACAAACTTAAGTTTTCTCTTCGGCTAGCCTCTAAGAGGTATGATGGATGGTGTGGTAGGGAACAAATAGAGTGTTTTAAAAATAATGTTTTCATATCTGCTTCTGCTTCACAATTGTCTTTACCATTTGAAACCATCTGGTAGGTCCAATATCAGGGATGAACTAGAGATTGTGCTTTATCAGTGTCTTGCAAAAACTTGACTCTCTTTGGGGAAGGAAAATAACACATCCTCCTCTCTCCCCCAATATATTCACATCACTTATGCAAAGGAAACAGAGAGAGGCTCTGGATATTGGCACAACTTGTTCTCATTCTGCCTGCTTTAAAATAAAAATAAATAAATTACATCATAATTGGAGCTGTTTTTTTTTTTTTTTTAGTTTCATATTCATAGAAATGAGTGAAGTGCCACTTTTTATAGATGCAGAGTGCTATGAATTAGACAGTGCCTGATTCTGAGTCACATTAAAATGTTATCAAAGGAGGCAGCTCTCTGTGGAGCCTACCCTGGAGCCTCTCCCCATCCCCATCTTTCCCCAGGGCCTGCTCTGTCTTTCCTGGAGCATGCCTCTCCTCCCCCTTTCATCCCTCAAGGCATGTATATCTCTTTCTCCTAAGCTCCAAGGGCCCTTCTGTGACCTCTGTAACTTTCTAAATAAACTTTCCCTTATAAAAATATATTATCAAAGGAACTTAATAAAGAAAAGTGCTTTCTACTGTAGAAATCTGCAGTCCCTAAGAAGTGATATTCAAGCCTAGTTTAGCCAAAATTGATGAAGTTAAGCAGAAAATTAAATTATGTGAATAATTAATAAAAATGTGCTTCCTGTTCTTTATTCCAGAATATTTTTTCCATTTCCTTCCTTTATTACCAAAAATATTATGATCGTGGTGCTATAATAATATAGCACCTGGGCATGGAATTCAGAAAGAACAAATTTTTAGATCTAGTTATACTTGCCACATACTAGCAGTGCAAACTTGATCAAGTCACTTCACCTTTTAAGCCTCAATCAAAGAGGGAATTGGACTAGACAATCTTTGGCGTACATTCTTGCTTTCAGATTCAATAATGGCTGTAAGTCTTTTCAAGTTCACCAGTTTCATCAGATGATACAGATAACTCAGAATTAAGTTTAAATAAAGGATCAGTAGATTTAAACAATTTTCAGTAAAAGAGAAAGAGAGAGAGGAACATTGATGTGATAGAGAGACATTGATTGGTTGATTGGTTGCCTCCTGCACTACCCTGACTGGGGATCGGACCTTCGACCCTTCAGTTCTTGGAGTTGATGCCCTAACCGCTGAGCCTAACTGGCCAGAGCAGAATGGGGAAACTTTCTTTCATTTTTTTTTCAATCCTCACCTGAGGATATTTTTACATTTATCTTCAGACAGAGTGGGAGGGAGAGAGAGAAAAAAAGAGAAACATCAGTGTGATGTGAGAGAGAGATATTGACTGGTTGCCACCTGCACAACCCCAACCAGGTCTGGGGACAAACTGCAACTGAGGTATGTGCCCTTAGCTGGAATTGAACCCGGGTCTCTTTGGTCCGCGGGCTGCCGCTCCAACTGCTGAGCCAAACTGGCCAGGGCTGGGGAAACGTTCTTAAAAGAGTAAACCTTGAAGCTACAAAGAATACAATTATATTTGTTTCCTTAAAACAACATCATCATTAACAACAAAACCTTCCCAAAGCTAGAGATCACATAAACAAATTGAAAAGACAGGAGAAACATATCTAAAAATATTAATGAAGGGTTAATAGTCCATATTTCTTCACTCAATATATATTTATTGAATATGCCTACTGTATGTCAGACACGATCCTTGGTGGTGGGGATACTGAGCTAAGCAAAACAGTCTAGCTTTTCTGATTTATGCGCACTTAGATTTAAACGGTTCTTAAAGTTGATTAAAAAGAAAAATAATCCAATAGAAAAAATGGTAAGTCTCAGATCAAGAAATAAAAGTGATTAAAGATGAAGATAGGAAAATGCAGCCAAAGCATAGAGATAACAATTCTTGTACATGGTTGACAGAATGATAACATCTGGGTATGGCCAAAGATAAAGCAGTGGGATTATTCATTGTTGCTAGGAGTGTGAATTGCTAAACTGATTTAAATTATGATAGTTATGTGCCCATCAGTTAGAAAATGATCAAACGTATTATGAAACTCATGTATAGTCATCCCTCGTTTATTGCGGTTAATCAGTTCCAGACTCTAGCGGGTGCACCTGGTGTTGAAGGCTTCCTGGGGTGCTCAAATACATAGGCCTACAGTCCATACGTACAGTAATTTTAATTTTAATTGTAATACAGGGGTGTATAATTGACTTAGACAACTGAACACACGCTGTATCATTTTCACTGTCTCGATCAACTTTTTAGTGAATATATTTGAAAAAAACACGATAGAGTGAAGCCGCGAAAGTCGAAGTGTGAAGTGGCAAGGAATGACTATATTCTAAGAATGGGCGAGATCTACAGGTATTGACATAGAAAGATATCCATGGTATGTTAAATGCAAAAGCAAATTGTAGGTTAATGTGTACAGATGATTGATCTCGTTTCTTTATAAAGGAAGCAAATAAACAGCAAAGGGGAAAGTTCTATATATGTGTGTATATGTTTGATAGATTTATAGCATTGGAGAGAGACAGGGCAGACTCTTGTATATACTTTCGCATTTAATTTGTTAAAATGTGCATTCTGTAATTAAAATAAGTAGAGGAACTGCTAACCATCTTGATTAAATTAATAGACTTCATTTATTTAATACATTTTATTTATTGAAATTTATTTATATTTCAAAATATTGGGTCCCAGAGAGCATGTCTTTATTATATTTGTGTAATACATAAAGTATTATGAATTAAGTTTAGTTGATAATGATTATGATAATTCAGTCAACATAAAATAAATGAAAATCTTTTTTTTTTTTTTTTAATCCTCAACCCGAGGATATTTTTCCATTTTTTGTACAGATAGAGTGGGAGGGAGAGAGAGAGAGAAACATCGACGTGAAGGGACACATCGAGTGGCTGCCACCCGCACGACCAACCAGTGCCGGGGACAAACTGCAACCAAAGTACGTGCCCTTAGCGGGAACCGAACCTGGGTCTCTCCGGACCGCAGGGCGACGCTCTAACCGCTGAGCCAAACTGGCCAGGGCTGAAAATCTTTTTTAGTAACCTTTCCTCGCCACCTTCCAACATACTTGATCAGGACTAAAATGAAAGCTAGGTGTCAGCAGAGAACTAAAAAAAATTGTTAATGCATGGACATTATTTAAAATCATGTTAATGTTCATAGGTACTTGAGGAAGAGACCATAGAACATGATTTCAGATCTTATTCTGATACTAAGTACCAGAATACTACGTACCAATTTCAGAGTCTTCCTTGAGTCTTGATTTTGCCTCAAAGTTTCTCTTTAGCTCTAGAATGGATTGAATCCCCTAATTTGTTTTAAGAGGTTATCCTGAAAATTTTATGTATTATCCTTGTATGTGAGGAATCCTTTATCTTTTACAAAGGGCTTTCGTAGCAATGATTTCATTTGATTTCACAATTACCAGGTAAGGTAGGTAGGCAGATAAAGTTATATCAGTGTTTATGGACTCTTCATGGGTTCTCTTTCTATTGTTCTTTGTGTAGTTCTAGCCATTTTGCCCTGCTTTCCCTCTGTTTACATTCAGTCCCTCTTTCCTCAACTCGCTCGATTTCCTCTCCAACCTCCCTCCACAACGAGCCAGTTCATATTTACCAACTTACAGTTGGTAATCTAAAATTGTAGATTGCTCTTAATGAGGATTTTAATAAATGAGTATTTGTGTGCATATATATGGGTGTGTGTATGTGTGTGTGTTTTGTTTTAGTTTTTTATAAAGCATAATATGTATAGAAAAGTTCAAAAAATTTAAGTGTAGAACTCAATGAATTTTCACAGTTAGCATCCCATGTAATCAACCCCCAGATCAAGAAATGTAGAATTATCAGCATTGCTGAAGTCCCCTGCCCCCTCCCATTATCCACCTCCAAACATATTAACCACGACTATTCTTATGATTTCTAATACCATGGATTCATTTTTCTTTTTAACTCTATGTAAATGGAATCATAGTGTTTACTTTTTATATCTGGTCTTATACCAACATTACATATTATCTGTGTTATCTATGTTATTGCATGTTGCAATAGTTTTCATTGCTGTTCTAGCATTCCATTGCATGAATAAATCACAGTTTATTTTTCTGTTCTTATGCTGATGGACATTTGGGTTGTTTTTGTCTGTCAAGAATATTGCTACTATGAACAGTGTGTTTTTTGGTGAACATATATACACATTTCTGTTGGCTATATACTTAGGAATGGAATTGCTGTGTTATAAGGTGTGCTATAGATACTGCCAACCTGTTTTCCAAAGTGATTGTGCTGATTTATTTTCCCCAGCAATGTATGAGATTTCTAGTTACTCCACATTCTTACCAGCACTTAATGTTGCCTATCTTTTTCATCTTAGCCATTTTGTAGGTATGTAGTAGTATTACATTGTGGATTTCTTTTGCATTTCACTGATAATCAATGAAATTGAATATCTTTGCATATGCTATGATGAATTTGGAGATCCTTTTATGTGAAGTGCCTGCTTGTTTTTTATATTTTTCTATTGGAGTGTCTGTCTTTTGTTCTTGCTTTGAATTTTTTGTTTTGTTTTGTTTTAGAAATTTTGGTTATATGTTATCCTACTCTATGGCTTGCCTTGTTTCTGTATGTGTTTTTAAGAAATTAAAAAAAAAAAAAAAAACACTTTAAAATCTGGACCAACTTAATTTAGAGCATTACTTTTTTTAAGTCCTCGCCTGAGGGGAGATATATATATATATATATATATATTTTTTTTTTTTTCTCATTAATCTTCAGATAGAGTCGGAGAGACAGAGAGAAACATCAATGTGAGAGAGGCACATCCACTGGTTGCCTCCCATACAACCCTGACCAGGGCCGGGGACTGAACCGCAACCGAGGTATGTGCCCTTGACCGAAATTGAACCCGTGACTCTTTGGTCCGTGGGCTGACACTAATCACTTAGCCAAGCTATCCAGGGCAATTGCTTTTAACAGTGTCAAATGAAGTAGGAAAATTAATATGCATAAGGCAAAAAGATATTTGAATTTGGCCAGGAGGAAGACATGAGTGGGAGTCAGAGTGGAATTTAATGTCAAAAAGTTAGAAGGTGGTTTTTAAAAAGCAGAAAAAGTGAGATCAATTAAGTATTTGTACTGTGTGCTGTGCACTGTGCTACATGTCCAGGTTGCATGCTGTTGGGTTGCAACCTCTTTGGGAGCTTCCTAGGTATAATCTGAAAGTGGCTTCTGTACAGGGCGGGCAGGGAGAGTCAAAAGGAAAAGGCAGATCACTCAAGATTTGTCGATGGCGGGTTTAATAAGCGAGGAAACTTACATATGTGAATTGTCTTGGGTGGCAGCAAGATGAGTAAGTTTTTCATACCCACCCACCAAATCTTAAAAGTTTATATTGAAGCCCTAACCGGGTTTAGTCATGTACACAGTCCAGGTAGTCTCATCACTACATTTCTCTCTCAAGGCTGTGTCCTTGGAGCAGCTTCTGGGAGCAGGGAAGGCAAGTGGGAACATATATTCCAAACTTGGGGAGGGTATGGGGAGCCTTCCAATTGCTCAGGTCCAGCTTATGGGTCCAACCAGTGCTCATGTCTTCTTGATGACCTTCCCCAACACATGCTTGCGCAGACCTTGCCTACTTCTGCCCCTTAAGCACCTGATGTAGACTCAGGAATTATTACTGTGGCTGAGAAAGTGATCAAAGCTAGAAGAGAAATGGGACAATAGTTGCAGAGCTGGTTGGGCAGTAGAGAGTATGAAGAGAAACCTGGAAGAAAAGGCCTGATCAGAAGAGAAAACAAGGAACCATTGTTGGGCAAAACAAAAGAATATACTGAAATCAGAACATGCTGAGATCAAAACTATAGTTGGAAGAAAAAAGCAAAATCAGAAAATCTGATTTCAGTAGGAAGGGAGATGGAAAATAAAATTCACAGCTTGGGAAATGATATGCTTGAAAGAGAAGAGTGAGAGGAGAGAAAATGGGTATGAGAGTAAGACTGAGTTTGCAGGACTTTTAGGAGGAGGATGGGTGGGAAACCCAGGGTCTTAAAGACATTGGATTAATTATGTAGGAAGAACACCGTAGGTAAACATTTAATTTATTCTAGTGATGGCTGATGAAGGTGTGGATGTCTAGATTTATTTATTTATTTTCTTTTTTAAAATTAAATTTATTAGAGTGACATTGGTTAATAAGATCATATAGGTTTCAAGTGTACATTTCTGTGATACATGATCTGTATATTGCATTATGTGCCCACTGCCCAAAGTCAAATTATCTTCCTTCACTATATATTTGGCCCCATTTATCTTTTATTGCCCCCTAGATTTATTTTTAAATAGGAAAATGTTCTGCAGAGTTTTAAAACATATTTTGACATCAGGCACTGTTTCTCTTTTTTCCTCTCCCCATATAATGCTTTACATGGAATAAACAGTAAAAAATTGCTGAGTGAGGTAAAATAATATTAAACATAGGGTTTCAGGAAGTGAATTAAGCATATTGGGCTCAGTTTACTATTCTTTTTTGATCAGATGTTTCTCATTAACGTAAAAAAAATCATTAAGTTCACATAATAGGACATCTTAATGACAATATGGCCAGTAAATATTTATTGAATGAATAAATTCATTTTTAAAAATTACTTTTTTTTAAGAGTGTGAAACTTGTAAATACATAAATTTCAAAGCTCTGTCTGCTATTAAGGCAGCCTTCTAAATGGAAAAATTGCATTTGTTGTCTTAAATATTTTGGATGCAGTAACCTTTAAAAATATCAACTGATGACTAAATGCCTTTCTCTCTTTTTCCTCCTAGTGGAATGAAACAGTGGAGCTTTTTCGTGCTAGGATGCCATTACGGAAGCACCGCTGTCGTTTCAAAAGTTATGAACAGTGCTTCTCGGCGGCGGAAGCTGTGGACTGGCTACATGATCTGCTGAGGTGCAATCAAAACTTTGGCCCTGAAGTGACCCGCAAACAAACGGTGCAGCTGCTGAAAAAATTCCTGAAGAATCATGTTATTGAAGACGTCAAGGGAAAATGGGGTCAGGAAGATTTTGAAGACAATGGTCACTTGTACAGGTAACAGCAACCAGTAAACTCTGAAGGCGGGGAGCATGGGGAGGACCAGTGCATCTGTCAGAGTCTGTGAAACAGTTTGCCTTGTCCCTTGGAGAATGCTTCTCCTGTGATTTGTTGGGTGGAGAACTGAATGTGTTGTTACAATAAAACCAATTGCACTGTTTCTTGACCCCACAGAGCACCCCACACCCGTCTTTTGTTGCAGTGACTTTTCAGTAAGGAAATCTTTTCATGGCTTTTGCATACCTGGCAGGCAGGCGGCCATAGCTTAGTACTTGTCCTGGAGAATCTGAATAGGGTTAAACAGTAGCTCTGGATTGGCCTTTGTGAACAATGAGAAGTGTGTTCAAGGGGGCTAGTGGCAGAGTGGGTGTGATCATTAAGCAGAACTCAGGGCTTATATGAAGAATTACACTAGAATTCCCTGGTGCCTCAGAGTAACCTTGGCAACAATGCATGTCTGCTTTTCCTTAAATTTTTATTTTTGCTTATGTTTCGGTGCTTTTTTTATGATTGGACACTTACACCAGATAATCTGAGGGAAATGGATGTCACTGTGCTTGGATTTCCTTGCCCACTGCTTGCTTAGCTGTTATTGCTAGAGGTGGAAAGGCCCTGCCTAAGATTCAGGGAGTGGGAGAAGATGAAGAGGAATGAAGTCACATGAGTTCAGAAAAGAGGAATTGTTGAGTTATCTACGCGGAGGCCTCCCAAAGTGGTAAGAAACTGAGAGGGATTAAAAAAGAAGCGGAGAATATGGATTGTTATTATTTGCTTTATTTTACTCCAGAAAAATAAGGAATTGATTCTCCATCTATTTGCAAACCTAATCTGCCTCTAGCTCCTGATCTCCTTTGTCTGTTTTTATTATAATATGGCTGTGGTACGATCTATTCAACTGTGAGCTGCACTGGAAATAGAGCAGGTAGGGCAGCCTGACCCCAGAAAAATAAGAAATCCTCTTACAACACATTTTGTGAGGGCAGTTGGGGGCCACTGGGATACCTGGCTTTGAGTAAACGACTTTTTCCAACCTCAACCGTTTCTTTGGCTTCTTCAAGACTAGCTCCCGAGAAAGGCTACAGAGCAAGGAGAGGGTGCCAAGGCCTAGACCAGATATTGCTGTACATTTAGAATTTAATTTCCTTACAGAGTTTCATCAGCAGTCTTCAGCTTCTAGATTCAAGTTATTATCTGGCCAATTAGTCGTTTCTCCATTTGGCAGTTATTTCTAACTTGCTGATCCAACTTTTAATTAGGATCGTGTGTGATGTTGGCCTATTCCAAGACCATAGTGCTTATTAGCCTCAGGCAGTTGAAACTCCAGCCCTGGTTCCACATGCCACACTTCACTGGGTGTTCTTCAGTGATTATTTCTCTTGGGAAACTCTCATTGCTTGTACCCCACCAACATTTAGCCAGCACACTGCTAAAAGATTCTCTGGATGAGCAACTTCTAATCTGTTCAATTGTCACCTTAAAATGGGTACCTCTCATTGAGTCCCACGGGGCTCTGAGAGTCATCAGACTGTGAAACAGGATCGTGCTCTAAGAGCCAGCCAGCCAGCACTGACTGTGAGAGTATGCGCCTTCAATACGAAGACTTCTCATGTTTCCCTTTAAAAAAGAGTGCACACACAAATTAAATTCACCCATGAAATAATGATCCCCCAACCTCCCAATTTTTCTTACAGAATACTTGTGAATCATAAAGGGAGCAGTATTTTCTTTGATTATTTACCACCTGAAAACTCATAGCCTTCCTTTTTCTTGAGTGGAAGTTCTATAAATTAACCCCTGATATTTGATGTTCTCAGGTTAATCGGGGGTGAAATCTATGTAGACATGTAAATCACTTGTTAAGGAGCATGTGCGTTGAATGGAGAGTAAGCTGATGCATGTGAAAGCAGCTGTTGCACACATTCAGTTTCTGGGACTAGTGCTCAGGATCACCGCTGTCACATGCCAGTACTCCAGGGAAGACTGGGGCTGGCTGCCTACCTGCTCTATTTCCAGTGCTGCTCGCAGATGAATAAATAGTACTACAGTCATATCATAATACAAGTAGGCAAGGGAGATTAGGAGCTAGATGCAGATTAGATTGGAGAATAGATGGAGAGACAGTAAGGTGAAGGTGTTCCAGAACATGCTTCTAAATCAGGCTTTAGGAAGAGGAGCCTTTATAAATTGTATCAAGAAGATTGGAATGAACATCTAAGAGTTCTTGTAGGAGGAAAGGAACAAAAATTCTAGAGCACCTATGATGTGCCAGACTTGCTGTATAATTGGCATTTAACTGGACACCTGTAGATGTATGTGGTATCCTAATTTTTAAAATTAGGAAATTAATAAGGCCAAAGTTATTAACTTCTCCAAAGTCACGCAGCTAGTAGTGGTAGAGTCAGGATTTGAATTTAGGTCTCTTTTTCTGAAACCTGTGTTGTAATTCACCAGACTGCTTCTATTTTCACAGCATGAGGTTGACTTGCTTTTTAAATAAATCAGTGAATGAGTAAACACATAGAATAATAAACAAACATTTGCTGTGGTCCACACTTGCTTATATAGTTGTAGAATCCTAGTAATGTATTAAGTACTGTGTAATATGTATTAAATGATCAGCTGTGTTCTTCAAGAAGCTCTCAAATAAAAAAGGTAAGGTAAACGTAGTTAGCCTAAATATTTATATAAATATTGCAGGGGATGGGTTGTTTCCTGGGTCTGTGAATTACAGAAGGGCATAGTTGAGAAAGCTACCTGAAATATAAAGGCTATTATAGTATGTTTAAAGACAGATTATATACACACATTTTATAACAATGATCATGAGTTAAACTTTTATTTTGGAATGTGTCAAATTTTATTTCTAGTTTTAAAAAAATGTATGTCTTGTTTGTTCTGTGACTGCATTTATATTTGTTAACCCTGATTCTTTTTCTCAAGAATCAAAGATATAAGTATAGAAGATAGAAGGAAATAGTAAATTTTAGTGAGAAAGGAAAGCAAGATCCTAATATCTGACATTCTTGATCAGAAGAGATGTTTCAGGGAAGTTCCCAGAGTTATTTCCTGAACCACTTCTTTCCTGTTACTAATACTGATGACTAGAAAGAATTCTGGATTTGCTTCAAGTGAAGACAATTTTAGACTTCATCAACGGCTGCTCAGAGTTGAGTCAGATGCTGTCATCAGTGTGTAACAAAACTTCATGGGCCTAGACTTCTGATGAGGAGAGCTAGTCACACTACTTTGTATTTTTATAAGAAATTTCAATTTGTGAAGTAGTTTCCCTTCCATGATCTCATTTTATCTTCATGACAACCCTGTGAGGTGAACAAGGTGAGTATTTCATCCTCAGGGAACCAGGCACTTTTCTCTTTGAAACATCTGAATAAAATACCAGGCATGTTCTAGTTAGAGAAATATACTAATCATACAATCTCCCCATTTATCTATGTGAACAGATGGTTATGTAGGATTGTTTAAACCTAATGTAATGAGCTATATAAAAATAGAAGTGTGTAATATGGTAATTGCTTGTTTTGACTATTTAATGAGGAAAATGTTTGGCCTAGTGTAGATCTTTAGCATGCTGCGGGGCCCTGGTCTGGAGCCTACACCTGGCCATTGACCTTCTCTCACTACTGTGCTGGCTCCAGTGGGTACGGATAACCCCGCAGGTGTTCATGGTTTACAGAGGGGCAGTCACTGCCTCACCTGTAGTGGTTTAGAACTAATATGTAGGGAACCATTTTCTTTTTATTCTCCTCCTCTTTTTCTGTTTCTGCCTCGTCAGGTGTGTTACTCTTGTGTCCTCTTCTTTTTCCTTCTCTTTTTCTCCTACTTCATTTTTCTCTCTTTCTTTCTGTTCCTTTTCCCTCTTATTTGCTTTTTTTTCCCCTGGTCTATTTCCAAAACATTGATTTTAATTTGAAACTAAAAAATTTTGTGTAGATACTGCCAACTTTATTGAATGTTGTTACCTTCACAGTTCTTAACTTAAAAAACAAAGGTTCATGCTACCCAGTTTTAAGACTTACTGTATATAAAGCCACAGTACTGAAGACTGTGATGTTGGCGAAGAGATAGATATAGATCAATGAAACAGTAGAGTTCAGAAACATATACAAATATGACCAATTGATTTTTGACAAAGGTAAAAATAATTTAAAGGAAAAAGAGTAGTCTTTTCAGTAGTGCTGGAACAACTGGATATCTATCCTCTATATGCAACAAAATGAACCTCAACCTAAACCCCATACTTTATACAAAAAGTTCAAAGTGGGTCATAGATTTAAATGTAAAAATGCAAAAATTTTATTTAAACAAGAGAAAATCTTTATGCCCTGGGGTTAGGCAAATAATTCTTTTTTTTTTTTTTTAATCCTTACCTGAGGATATTTTTCCATTTATCTTCAGATTGAGTGGGAGAGAGGGAGAGAAATACGTACCCTTGACTGGAATCGAACCCGCGACTCTTTGGTCTGCAGGCCAACGCTCTAACTTCTCAGCAAAACCGGCCAGTGCTAGGCAAAGAATTCTTAACCATGATGCCAAAATGAGATTTATAAGAGAAAGAAATCATGATAAATTGGACTTTATCAAAATTAAAAACTTTTGCTCTATGAAAGAAACTGTTAAGAGGCTGAGAAGACAAGCTACAGATGGGAGAAAATACTTGTAAACCACATAAACGACAATGGACTGGTATCAAGAATATATAAAGAATTCACAAAACTCAACAGTAAGAAAACAACCCAATTAAAAAATGATCAGAACAGCCCTGGCCGGTTAGAGCATTGGCTGTGTACCAGAGTCCCGGGTTCGATTCTGGCCAAGGACACGTACCTCGGTTGCAGTTGGTCCCCAGCCCAGGTTGGGGTCATTGTGGATGTCAACTAGTCAATGTGTCTCTCTCACATCGATTTTCTCTCTCTTTCCCGTCTTCTCTCCCTCCTGCTCTATCTGAAGATAAATGTAAAAGTATCCTCAGGTGAGGA